TTCCTCTTCAGAAGTAGACCCTTATGAGGTCACTGAGTTGCCCCTCTGCAGCATCCTGTTCTGCTGATGGGGAAACCAAGGCTACGAAACCAGAGAAACCCACTCAAAGTCTATCCTGGCTGGGGACATCTGGGTGCTCACTGGAGTGAGGGAGAGGACAGAGGGCCTGGAAGCACACCTAGAACCTCCATGGTGCTCAGGTCTGGCCCCCAGGTCACTTAGGTTTGTCAACAGCGCCCCCTGCTGGCTGCTTGGGCCACCGGTGGCCCTTTGTCCTGGTGGTCAGTGGCCTGCCGACAGGGGGATGAAGGCCTGCCAGGCATGGGGTTTCTTTATACTTCTCTTCCATCTCCTCCAGCTAGGAGCTGAGCCAGCCCAGCCTTTGTGGGATGGGTCTCCCTGTCCTGGCTGGCTGTGAAAGTTGAATTCTCTATTGGAACCCTGGCTACCAGTGTTCACCCATGCCCCCACATGGGACCCAGGCCTTCACCGCTGCAGGGGTATCACGTGGTGCCTGGGAGACCACCAGGGTCCTTTGGCTGTGATGGGGACTGGCACCAGGAACTGAGATGGCCTTGCTGAAGGTGGCAGTGTCTTGCTCCTGCTCTGGGCTCTCTGTGTGCTTGTCTTCCCCACCATGGTTTGTCCCTGGCCCCAGGAGCCTTTGTCATGTGGATGCTGGCTGAGGGTCTGTGTGGGTAATCTCAGGAGGACACATTCAGCTCCCGCTTGGGTGACCTACAGAAGTAGCAAGCGGAGCTGTCCTGATCACACCCCTGCCGACCCAGACCACATACACACACACGCACACCTGTATCCTACCGCCTCCCCAGGACCTGTTCAAGAGTGAAAATTGTAAAGGGAAAGCCAGGATTCTTGAGCTGGCTCCTACCCAACAAGCTGTAATCTCCAAGCCTCAGTTTCTTCATCTGTAAAATGGGGATGTAACTACATTCTCTTACCTGTGCTCTGCCTGGACCAGTACCTGACTTGTAGGAGCTCAGCACATGGTCATCTAATAGGTAAATATGGGCTTGGACCAAGAGTTCCTTGAACACAAGAAGATGATTTCATTTTAATCTCTGCACGCCCAATCCACCTAGCCTAGGACCCTGCATGGTATCGTTATTAAAAAGCATTTCGGCCGGGCGCAGTGGCTCATGCCTGTAATCCCAGCACTTTGGGAGGCCGAGGTGGGCAGATCACAAGGTCAGGAGATCGAGACCATCCTAGCTAACACAGTGAAACCCCGTCTCTACTAAAAATACAAAAAATTAGCTGGACGTGGTGGCAGGCGCCTGTAGTCCCAGCTACTCGGGAGGCTGAGGCAGGAGAACGGCGTGAACCCGGGAGGTGGAGCTTGCAATGAGCCGAGATCACGCCACTGCACTCCAGCCTGGGCAATGGACTCATCTCAAAACAAAACAAAACAAAACAGAGCATTTCTTGGGAGAGCGTAAGCATGTACGAATGAGCAAGTGGAGACTAAAGATGTTTGAATGGATGAGTAGACAGGTGAACAGGCGGGCATTTGTTTTTATTATTGTTATTTTTTAAATTTTTCTTTTTGGGTGCTCTATCACCCTCCTCCTCCTTCCCCAGGCAGGTATTTCGATGGATAAATGATGGGTGGAGAAATTGGGCAGCGGGTGGGATGAATGGAGGGATGGTTGGCAGGGTGACGGTGGAAGAAATAAGTATGCGCACAACCCCCACTTTTCCCTTCTTGCTGGAGAGCTCCAGAAAGCACTTACTGAAGTACAGAGTCCCAGATGACCCAGCAAGTCCACTTCTGAGTGTATGTTCTCTAGACTAATTCACACACGTGTGATGTGCCGGTATGAACAGTTATTCCTGCAGCACTGCAATGATAAAAATTTGGAGCCAGGCACGGTGGCTCACGCCTGTAATCCCAGCACTTCGGGAGGCCAAGGTGGGCGGATCGCCTGAGATCGGGAGTTTGAGACCAGCCTGGCCCATATGGTGAAACCCTCTCTCTATTAAAAATAAAAATTAGCCGGACGTGGTGGCATGCGCCTGTAATCCCAGCTACTCGGGAAGCTGAGACAGGAGAATCACTTGAACCCGGGAGGCGGAGGCTGCAGTGAGCCAAGATCATGCCATTGCACTCCAGTCTGGGAGACAGAGGGAGACTCAGTCTCAAAAAGAAAGAAAAAGAAAGAAAAAGAAAAATTTGGAAACAGGTTCAGGGTCCCTCGTTTCAGGCTGGAGTGTGAGCCCCCTGAGCAGAGGGGCCTTGTCTGGGGGCTCAAGCCTTAGAACAGCACCTGGCAGAGGGTCAATGGACCCATGTTAGTTGGATGATGCTTCATGATACCTAGGAATACTGTGCAGCCATTAAAAAATGAAAAGGTGGCCGGGCGCGGTGGCTCACACCTGTAATCCCAGCACTTTGGGAGGCCAAGGCAGGCGAATCATGAGGTAAGGAGATCGAGACCATCCTGGCTAACACAGTGAAACCCCATTTCTACTAAAAACACAAAAAATTAGCCAAGTGTGGCCGGGTGCGGTGGCACATGAATCCTAGCACTTTGGGAGGCCGAGGTGGGCAGATCACCAGGTCAGGAGATCGAGACCATCCTAGTTAACATGGTGAAACCCCGTCTCTACTAAAAGTACAAAAAATTAGCCGGGCGTGGTGGCGGGCACCTGTAGTCGCAGCTACTCAGAAGGCTGAGGCAGGAGAATGGCATGAACCTGGGAGGTGGAGCTTACAGTGAGCCGAGATCGCGCCACTGTACTCCAGCCTGGTGAAAGTGCAAGACTCCGTCTTCAAAAAAAAAAAAAAAAGAAAGAAAAGTAGCCAGGCATAGTGGCAGCGCCTGTGGTCCCAGCTACTCGGGAGGCTGAAACAGGAGACTCGCTTGAACCCGGAAGGCGGAGGTTGCAGTGAGCCAAGATTGTGCCACTGCACTGTAGCCTGGGCAACAAAGCGAAACTGTCTCAAAAAAAAGAAAAAAAAGATGCTCTTTATGTCTTGATGTGGAATAAACTTTCAGATGTTATCAAGAGAAAGAAAAAAGCGACGTCCAAATAATGTGTAATGTTATTTTCAGTTTTTAAAAATGTGGCAAGAAAAAGTGCGTGTAGATATTTGCTTCTAGATGAGACTCTCCAGAAGGGGGACTGATGGCACTGGTTCTCCTAGAAAAGGCACCAGGGGCCTGGGGACAGGGCCTGGACCCAGGACTGGATACCTTTGTGGACTTTCTGATTTTTGAGCCATGCAAATGAATTACCTTTTCAGACACACATGGAGCAATAAGAATTGCAGCAAGAGCTACACATCCTTTAAAGCAATTGGAGGAGGAACAGGACTTTCTTCCAAAGGCTGGGGCCGGGCAATGGTGTTGGTTCCCTCAACGAGCGTGTGTAGAAAGCAGACAGGCAGGCACACACACCTACACTTCCACCAGCTGCGAGGATTTGGCACATCTGGGGACCTCAGTTTCCTCACCTGTAAAATGGAGATGATCCTAGCCTTACAGAGTGGGTGTGAAGAGGAAAGGAGAGAATGCAGGTGTCCAGCACATGAAAAGTCCAGGGTGACATGGCCAGAGATGAGGGGTCTTTAGTAGGGAGTGTGGCAGAGTAGCAGAGAAGGCTTAGGGCTCCAGGTCTCCTGTCCAGCACCCTGGATCTGACGCAGATGTCTGCAGCCTGAACTGTCCCCTGGGGGCAGGAGGGCAAACCGAGCTGGCAGCGGGCAGACTTCTGCCTTGGCCCAAGAACCTGGATCCCTGAGCAGTGGGCGGACTAGGGCCTTACAGTCCTTCCTCTCTCTACCTAGATCTCTGCCATTGCTGTGTGGCCTCCCTGGAGCGGCCTGGGGATTCCTGGGGCTATTTCAAGCCGAGGGAGCTTCCTCCACTTAGCTCTGTCATCCAGAGGGAAGTCCCATTCATGTTAATGGCCCTGACGCTCCCTTCTCCCACACTTCAGGAAGGGTGAGCCTAGTGCCAAGCCATCCCTGCACCCGCACTGTCAGCATCGCACAATGGAAACCGCGGGCTGGCAGTCAGGAACCCTGGTTCCTGGTGTGGGCTCAGACACCACTTGCTGTGCCACCCTGGCTTTTCTCTTTCTGTCTCTCAGCCTCAGTTTCTTTATCTAGAAAATAGCTGTGGTGCTCATTCTTATCCTCCTTTTCCAAGAGGGCAAAGTGAAAAAAACAGTTGTGAGTGGTTTGTAAATTATGAAGAACTCTAAAGCCTGAGGGACTGGGGGAGGGCAGGTGCCACCTGAGCTCTCCACTCAGAGCACACGTGCACTGAAGGTCATCATATGGGAAGGTCCCCCTGCACATGTATGAACACACACACACACGTACACACACACAGACACACGTACACACACACACACACACGGTCCAAGCCCTGAACCAGGAATCCAAGGGGAATTGCCACCCCTCCCACCACCCAAAACACACATGCACGTACAGAAATGTGTGCACCTGGCTGGGAGTGGTGGCTCACACCTGTAATCCCAGCACTTTGGGAGGCTGAGGTGGGCGGATCACCTGAGGTCAGGAGTTCGAGACCAGCCTGGCCAACATGGTGAAACTCCATCTCTACTAAAAATACAAAAATTAGCCAGGTGTGTGGCGGACACCTGTAATCCCAGCTACTCCGGAGGCTGAGGCAGGATAATCGCTTGATCCTGGGAGGCAGAGGTTGCAATGAGCCGAGATCGCACCACTGCACTCCAGCCTAGGTGACAAGAGCGAAACTCCATCTCAAAAAAAAGAAAAGAAAAGAAATGTGGGCATGCCTGCCCAGTGCTCACATGTACCACACATGGAAAGCACCTGGAACATTTTCCTGCCCTCAGCCCAGTGAGGTACCCCAGGTGCAGCCCCACAGGGCCCAGCAAAGGGCTCTGGAACCTACCAGTGTTGTGGCCAGAGGGCAGTTGGGAGGCTGGTGCAAGGTCGGCAGGCCTGGCATGATCCAGTAACACCCTCTCCTTTCTTTTCGCAGGCTGGACAACGTTCATGGCTCTCGGGTAGAACCCAGCGAAACGGCCAGAATGAATTCTATGGACAGGCACATCCAGCAGACCAATGACCGACTGCAGTGCATCAAGCAGGTGGGTGTGGGGCAAGGCACACTCTGAGGGCGGGACAGATGGGGCGGACAGAGCAGCACACCTATGCTATAGCAACAGGGCATCCGGCGGGTGCTGGCTGGAGCGGATGGCAGGGCCTCCTGACCACCTACCTATCGAGGCCATTATTGGCATGCTGGCACCGACCAGCCTAATGCTGGAATCACTTGCCTGGGTTTCAGTGCCAATGCTCCCCTGTCCCTTTGCACACCCTTCCCAGCTGTGTGACATTGGGCCAGTGTTGTGGCCTCTCTGGGCTCTGTTTATGTGCAAGGATGCAGTGATGCACCTGGCGCTTCCATCTCCCTCCCACCACCTCCCTCCCCAGAACTAAGCTCCCTACCCCTTTGCTCCAGTTGTTCTCTTAAAAATAAAAATAAAAATAAAAGTCACAGGCTGGGTGTGGCAGCTCACGCCTGTAATCCCAGAACTTTGAGTGGCCAAGGTAGGAAGATTGCTTGAGCCCAGGAGTTTGAGCCGAGCCTGGGTAACATAGCAAGACTCTGTCTCGGGGGGGAAAAAGAAGAGGAAAGAAAGAAAAATTAAAGCTGAGAAAATTTAAAAATATTTACTAATTTATTTAAAAAGAAGAACCCATTATAGGCTGGGCCCAGTGGTTCATACCTGTAATCTCAGCGCTTTGGGAGGCTAAGGGAGGAGGATCACTTGAAGCCAAGAGTTTGAAACCAGCCTGGGCAACATAGTGAGATCCCATCTCTATTTTTTAAAAAAGAAAAAAAAAAGCCACAAGGGAAGAGGTCCTAGGAAATCATATCGTTTTACAGGAAAGGAAACAAGTACAGAGAAGAGCAGTGGGTAGCCTGAGGCCACTCAGCCCCTCTGGTGCTGGGAAGACCTCATTGCAGAGAGTGCCATGGTCCCCACCCTGCCGAAGCTCACACCAAGCCCAGGAGGCAGGCTGCCCAGGAGTTCCTCTATTTGGACTGCGGGGAGGTGGGGAACCTTTCACAGGGGCGCCCCCAAGCGGTGGTCAGGAGTGACGCGCCCAACCGCTGGGCCCAGCTCCCACAGCCCAGGCTGGTAGCTTCCCTGTGCAGACCAAGGAACGTTATTCACTCCAGGAAGGACCAGGTACAGCAAGAGGGGCACGGGCTTTGGTGTCAGATGCCTTGGACCCGAGTCCTCATTATTCTATGGACCCACGATGGGATCTCAAGCTAGTCCTCCATTTCTCTGAGCCTCAGTTTCCCCATGTGTCAAATAGGGCCCACCTCGTAGGATGATGTGAGGATGTTACGGGTGAGACACGTAGCCCAGCCCTGGTGTGTGGTGGGTGATCAGCTAATGGCAGTGGTGGCCATTGTCCTCAATATGTGACAGGGAAGGGAGTGCTGGGGCTCGGGCCCCTGGCCTAGGCCAGCTTAGCAAGAAGCTCAGGCAACCAGCATGGGCTGCTGGCCCCTGGGTTCCAGCCAGGTGGAGCTCACAGGCCCCTCCCCACCCAGCCTTCCCTCCCTGAGGGCCAGGGCCCAGATGGAGCCTCCCCAAGGTGCCTGCCCAGTAGAACTGAGGCTATTCCACAAGAACAAGGGGTGTGTGTCCTCTTATTAGCATCGAGCAGAGCAATCTTGAAGTCCGTGCGGGGTCTGTGGAGAGGAAATTGAAGAAGACTTGTTATGGATTGAACCCAACCCCAATGGCTCTCCCAAAAGCCCGTTATGCGCCTCTGCTCACCATGGCAGAATAGAAACCAGACGCCGAGACTCCCTCCTCCCCCACCCTCCCTCCTCCCACTTAGGGTTCTGCAGGGTTCTCTCCTAGCTCTGCCTTTCACCCCGTTTCTCCCACCCTTTGCTCAGCTGGCAGTGGCCCTGCCCCCGCAATGGGACACTCATGCCTCCTGTGCATGAGACCCTCCACATGGCAGGCACATCACCCCTGCCGAGACCTGCTCTCACCCTCTTTCCTCTCGGCACCCAGCTCCATAGCACCAGGGGTCAGGGTGCACCTGACTTCCTTGGCCCTCCCTGGGTCTAGCTTGGGCAGAGCCCACCAGAAGCCCCTCACAGCATGGCACACAGCTCAGTCACCATTGCGTCACTTACAAACTATGCAGTCTTAAGTTGCTGCTTCACCTCCCTTCATCTATAAAATGGGCATTATAATTAATGCACAGCCAGCACATGCCAGAGCCCACACCACCCTCCCTCACCTGCCCTGGCACACACATGCATGCACACACATAGAGGGCTCTGCCTTTCAGCCAGGCAGTGGTGCGTTTGTGAGTGTGAGCAACCTGCCCGGATGCCCCCTGGGCCATCCAGAGCTCCCTGCATGCTCCATGCCTCTCCTCCCACACCCCCGGTCAGACACAGCTCCGTGCTGACATCTGTCTGCTCCACAGCTGCCCTAGAAGGCAGCCTCGGCTGGCTGGGGGTTGTTGATTCTCAGGCATCCTGTAACCTAATCAGAAGAGAAAGGCAAGCATGTCTGCACAAGCTGAGATGATGGATGTGTCGGCTGTGCAGACTTCGGGCCGGTAGGGGCTGTGGTTCCCTCACCTCTCCCCACAGCCATCCCTTCCTGCCCTCACCTTGGTTGTAGCCTTTGCTGACATTCACCAACCCCCGCCCTCTGTACCCTGCTGACCATGTCTCTTCACAGCCTCTATCTCAGCTGCCTTTGTCCCTTCTCAGCCTCTTGGTACTGGGAGAACCAGTGCTTCCTCTCTGTAACATGCCCTTCTCAGAGATGACTGGCACATCCAAGCTCCACGTGGAGAGCCCTGCACATCAGCTCATTCCTGCTCAGCAGCTGCCCGGAACCCCAGGGGCCCTTCTGAGCATCTGTACCCCATCCCTGAGCTAGAACACTTCCTGTGCACCCAGCTATCTCACCTACCCTGCTCTGTCTCTCTGGAGCTATGGGCCCTGTAGGAATACATCAGGTCTCCCACCAGGTTGAGCTCCTTGGGGGCAGAGGATGTGCCATATTCATTTCAAAATCACAGAATCCAGCATAGCATCCAGCTCAGAGTGGGGCCCAACTATTTTGGGTGGGCTGAGGAGAGGGGTGGACTGATAGATGGATACGTAAGGGAATGGATGGATGGATGGATGGACATATGGGCAGATAGTTAGATGGGTGGGTGGGTGGACATGTATAGATGATGAATGGATAAATGGATGAATAAACAGATAGGTGGGTGGCTGGATAAATTAACTTCTGGATGAATGGGCAGATAGGTAGATGAATGAAGGGATGGATGAGTGGTGGATAAAGTGGTGAATGGATGAATGGGTGGGTTGGCAAGCAGACAGATGGATGAATTGATTCATTTAGGATGGATGGATGGATGGATGGATGGATGGATGGATGGATGGATACATGCATAGATTGATGAATGGATGAATCATTTGATTCACAGATGGACTAGTGGACAGATGGATTGATAAGATGAATTCATCATTTCAAGGCATTGCTGTGCCCTGTTCCTGCCCCAGCAGACTCAATGCCTTTGGATATAGCCCAACTCTTATGAGGAATTATAGAGATGGCAGGCTTTCTGATGGGGGACAGAGTACTAGTGTCCAGTAACAGCTACAGTTAGGGAGGCCTCTGCCTATGATTCAAACATGTGCTCCCATCCCCAGCCCATCAATGGCTGGCCCTCTACCTCCCACTGGGGCTCATTCTGCAGTGGCCACCTTGCTGGCCTACACAGCAGGCTCACCATCCTTTGGACAGTTAACTGCTCCCCAATCATTTCCCATGGGGCCCAGCCTTGTGCCAGCCTTTGGGGTTCCAGAGGTGAACAGGAAGGGAGGCTATTTCTCCCCTCAAGAGGCTCACAAGAGAAACAGGGAACCGTGGAGGGTCCCTGGCATCAATAGCAGTAGCAGTCTTCCCCTGGGCTCCTGCTCTGTCATGAGTTCCTTGTCATTTCTCAACTCTGCAGCAGCCCTGAATGCCGTCACTGCCCCGTGTCACAGATGTGGGGTCTGATGTGCAGCACCGTCTCCTGGGCTGCATGGCTCAGCGACTCAGACGGGGTTTGGACCATGTCTGTCCTGCTTGTTTCACTAGATCACTTTGTCTCTCTGTGCACTTCAGTCACCTCATGGTTGAAATAGGCGACAAGGGCACAGAGAGGGGAGGGGGCTTGGCCAAGGCCAAAGAGCTGCACAGTAGCCAGCAGTGTATTCCCAGCACTTTGGGAGACTGTGGTGGGAGGACTGCTTGAGCTCAGGAGTGTAAGACCAGCCTGGGCAACATAGCAAGACCTCGTCTCTATTAAACATCAACAACAACAAAAAGTAGCCAGGCATGGTGGTGCACACCAGTAATCCAAGCTACTTGGCAAGCTGAAGTGGGAGGATCCCTTGAGCCCAGGAGACTAAAGCTGCAGTGAGCTATGATTGCACTGCTATACTCCAGCCTGGGTGACAGAATGAGACCCTGTCAAAAAAAAAAAAAAACACCAGCAAAGGTGTTTTCTGATGTTTTCTTCAGCAGTGAGATGTACCCACAGCCTACAGGCCACATGAGCTGTCTGGGGTAAGCTCAGAAGGCTGGTGAGATACTGAAGGCTGGGCATTCAGGTGCCAGAACCAGACTGGGCTTCTGAGACTGACCTCAGAGGCCACCCCTGCACCCAGAGCCCCAAAGTGGGGTGCTGTGACCAGCTGGGGGCAGGCAGCTCTGAGGCAGCATGCAGTGGCTCCTGACCCTGCTAACTGGGTGTGACAGCACTGAAATAAACAGAACAACTCGGTTAGCAGGGGTGGCTGGTGGGCAGGAATCAGCTGATTTGCATGGCTTTCCACATGCAGCCCAGATACCACCTGTGGCCTCTGAGGGGCATGCTTTAGAGAAAGGGCACAGGAGGCAGAGGTGAGGACCCGCCGCTGCCCTCACAGAGGGCTTGTTTCTGTATCTTCAAATTCCTCCCGTCTCGCACAATTCAAATGCAGGGAGCACCGCCTTTGCAGAAGGAGCCAGGGCTGAGAGCGGCCACGTGCAGCTGTGCTTTCAGGGGAGCCTTTGGGAGACAGTCAGGGGCAAGGGCAGCCCCACATGGGAGCACCCCATGCTCCAGGCACTTTGCCAGAGGCCATATAAGCCTCATCTTGTTTAAGCCTCACTGCAGCCCTGTGACGGAGGGCTTTGTTGCTGCTTGCCTGCCCTCTTTCTCTCTTACATTGCTTTCTCTCCCTTTACCTCCATGGAAGGAGGGCATTCTTCATTTCACTTTCCTCCACCCATTTTTAAATATCTTGCCTTGCATGAACCACATTGTAGCAACAGTCATGGAACCTTAAGCGAAAGAAATAAAACTTCCCACCACCAAGTCATGTTCTGTCATATCACCATTTTACAGACAGGGCTATTGAGGCTCAGAGAGCTGAGGGGAACCATCCTAGGTCAGTGGTTGGAAGGGGGTGAAGGCAGAGTGTGGACTCCCATAGCTCCCCTGCCAATTCTGGGCCCTGCGACTCCTAAGCCCCTTCCCGCCCTGGCTCTGGGGCAGGCTCATGCTGCAGGTCAAATGGAGGGACTGCCCTGGGTGGCTCCTGTTCTGCTGTCTCTCCCAGCACCAAGGCAATGGGACCTCAGGAGGTGCCATCATCCCTGCAATGGTTAACACTCCTGCGCTGTGGACACCCTCCAGGGGTCCTTCAGGAGGACAGTCAGTCACAGCCAAATTGGGCCAGAGCCCCATCCCAGAATCTCACCTTTGCCCCTAATCTGCTCCTTCCCCTAGCCATATCTTTTGTCTCCTGGACTCAGTACCCAGCTCAGAGGGCCTGGGGAGATGGATAAGAGTGAAGGGGAACCACCCCCTTCGCTTTGCCCCTCACCTACCCCAGCAGCCCTGCAGCCTGGGCCTGAAGCAGAACCAGGAGGCCCGGCACCCTGGCACCAGAATTCAGTCTCCATCGACTCAGACTCTCTGCCTGGCAGGGATCTGAGCTCAGGCTGACTTCCCCGTCCATGCCAGCAGCCTCTGAGCAGATCCAGGCAGGGCCCAGTAAGACACACAGCAGCCCCTAGTGTGAGGACCGTCCAGGCACATGTGCTTCCTCCACCTTCCCAGCTGGCTGTGGCCTCCCCCAAGCCCTCACCTTATGTGGCTCCAAAGCCTGAGTTGGTGGGAGCCCAGACCTGGGCTTTGGTGGTGGGGGCTGGGTGGTGGGGGGTGGTCAGGAAGAATCTCCAGGGCCAGCCTGTCCTGGATCAGGGAGGGAGAACCCCCAGAACCCTGCAGGGATCGCCTTCCGCCACCCCCACCAGCATCCAGAAAGCACTCTGCTATCAGTCATCAGCCTTCTCTAGACCTTAGTTTTCCTGTCTTTGCAATGGGGCTACTAATCCACCAGGGGTGGAGGTGGGGGTGGGGTGGGGGTGGGGGTGGGGGTGGGGGTGGGGGGGTGGGGTGGGGTGGGGGTGGGGGTGGTGGGGGTGGAGGTGGGGGGGTAGGGGTGGAGGTGGGGGGGTGGGGGTGGGGTGGAGGTGGAGGTGGGGGGGTGGAGGTGGGGGTGGGGGTGGGGCAGGCATGCCGACGGCAGGGCGTGAAATCGAGCATGGGAAAGCTCACTGATCCCAACTACCCCTTTACCCCTTTCCGTGAACCTCCTCCCAGTGAGGCTGGGGTCTTCCCACTCCAGACGCCCACATGCTGCGCATGCTACCCTCATTCCTGGAGCCTGAGCCACCTCATTTTCCTTTCCCACAGCACTTACAGAATCCTGCCAACTTCCACAATGCTGCCACGGAGCTGCTGGACTGGTGTGGAGACCCACGGGCCTTCCAGCGGCCCTTTGAGCAGAGCCTGATGGGCTGTTTGACGGTGAGTCTGCACCCTGTGCACCTGCATTCCTGCCCAGGAACGTCAGCTGAGGGCTAGTGTGCCCGTCCAGGTGTCAGAGAGGTTGTCAGACATTGGGAGGTGACACCAGTGAGAGTTGGGTCCCTGGGAAGACACTGGTGCTAGGGGGATGGCCCTATTGGGTGTGTCCCCTGCGTGCACACCCCCCAGGTGACCTGGAATTGAGGAGGCACAGTCCCTAGGGATTGTGTGGGTTCCCACACTTGATGAGAAAGACTCAGGGCTCACTTTGTGGGTCACTGTTTCATCATAAGCACAGTAGAGAGACTCTCAAAGGGTTTTCAGCCATTTTTTATCCAGTCGTTCATTCATTCATTCACTTAGCAAACATGTGTGGAGCTTCTTTTGTCATCATCCATCCATTCAGGTAAGCATTGATTGAGCCCCTCTTACATCCATCCATCTAGCCAAATAAGCATTGATCTCTCATTGATCACGTATGATCCCTCTGCTAAGTCCGGGGAAACTGAAGATGAATAAGGCTTCACCGAGCCTGGTTTCCTCTGTAGTGGAGGAGGCAGATGTATAAAGAAGTGACTGAGAAAATCATGTCCACAGTGAAGGCAGCACAGAGAAGGGAATCCTGAACTGGCTGGGTGGCGGGACGGGGCGTGGAAAACGGAGGAAAGGAAAGGAGCCACCCTTCGTGTGCCGGAGTCTGCCAAGCAACAGAGGGGAGCAGGAGTGCTCAGGCACACGGAACAGCATCTGCAAGAGGCCAGAGAACTGGAAGGGTCGAGGCTGCAAACTGGGCAGAGGCCAGGTCCAGAGTTTGTGGTATGATCGGCCAGGCTAAGGAGCTTGCCATCTAACAGGACCCATGAAAGTCACTCAAAGCTTGGGAATGTCCCCAGCCATGTGGCCTGTGTCCATAAGTGTGATGACCAGAGAGGGCAGCTGCTCAGAAGGCCCTGAGTCCACTTTGAAAGGAATGTGGGTAAACAGATGGCAGGGGAGCCCGCCTAGCCTGAGGCTGGGAGAGGAGGGACATGGCGGATGTCTGGCCAGGCGGGAACAGTGGGCATGGTCCACGGGCACCAGGCTTCCTGAAAAGCTGGGAGGAGACGAAAGGCCCACATGGCCTTGGCCTGGAGAGGAAGAAATAGCGGCCACAGCTATCGTGACAAAGCATCTGTTCTGTGCCCGGTGGGGAGCCGGCCCACAGAATATGCCGTCCCACCAAATCCCCTCAGTGAGCCTGGCCTGCAACACTCCCCATTTTACAGAGGAGGAAACTGAGACTTCTAACTGACTTCCCAAGGGTGCACAGCCTTAGAGGTGGGCCTGGGATTCCAGCCGAGGCCCTGCCTGTCTCCAGAGGGGATGCCCTTTGCCATTAGGGATGCCAGACAGGGACGCAGCCAGGACCCTCCTGGGGCTCCTCTGCTTGTCAGAAGTCAGCACCATCTGGCTCCCTCAGGCCACCGGGCCAAATCGAGCAGCCACCTGCACTGCCCAGTCTTCCTCATCCTTCAGCCCATGGGCTCCCCTCTCCCTCCCCACAGCCCTCTAATCTTCTTTGTGGGGATCTGGTTCCAGGCTAAGCCCTGTGGGCAGGGACAGATGTTGCCAGAGGCCCCCTCACTTCCACCCCAGCGGAGGATGGAGGAGGTGGGGACCTTGCATGATGTGTGGCCAGCCAGGCCGCCACAGTCTCAAGCACACTGCCCCGAGCCTGACCCTGTCTATCTAGGATGTAGGGACTGGAGACTGAATCAGAGAGCGGCCCTCGCCAGCCTGGATGGACCAAGAACTGGCTCTGCCTTGGCCCTCTTGTCCATGCATTCATTCACGAACATTCACTGGGCTCTTGTTGGGGGCCAGGCTCTGTGCTGGGCCCCAGAGGCACCATGATCAAGGGGCTGGCCTGCCAGGGAGAGCCTGACATTGAACCTGCAAAGGAACAAACAGGGACACATGCTAGAGCTCCGGGAGAGAGGGCAAGGGCACAGGGCAGGAAATGTCTCCTGAGGAGGTGACCTCCTTGGGAGGATGAGAGAGCAGGGTGCTCCAGGCAGAGGAAACTGCTGATGCAAAGGCCCTGAGGCTTGCTCTGTTCATAAACAGAAAGAAGGTTCAGGTGGCTGGAGCCCAGAGGAGGGAGAAGGGTGTGAGATTAAGCAGAGGAAGGAGGCAGAAAGCAGCTAACGCAGGGCCCACAGGCCAAGCGAGAAGAGTCTGGGCATTATTGGAAGGGCAGTGGGGAGCCCTTGAAGGGTTGTCAGTAGGAGAGTGATGGGCTGTGATTTGCATGGGGGCAGGAGCTCTGAAGGGAGCATCTTTGGAGGGCAGGATGGAGGGATCATGGAGGGCTTCCTGGAGGAGGGAGGGTGCCATGGGATCTGGCTGGACAGAGAGGAAGCCATGGCAGGGGAGGCTGTGTAAACAGTGCCCACTCTCCTGGGCCTCTGCTCCCTGCCCCCAGTGTAAGGCATGCACCTGGTGGAATGGCCCCCACTCCTGCAGCCTGGCCACAGCTGCAGAGACCTGAGTCTGGCTGTCCCTTAGAGGTCAGTAGAGCCAGCAGCTTGAAGGGGCTTGCTGGGGGAGTAGTGGGGATTGTCATAAATGACATTTCAGTGCTCAGGGTATTTTCCCTAGGCACTGTCTCTTTGGATCCTTATAAAGACCCTTTGAGGTGGGCAGCGAGTCACTACTCCCATTTTACAAACAAGGCCACTGGGAGGGGGAGCAGCTTACCCCAGTCCCAGGCTGGTCCCACAGACTCCCTGAGAACCTCTGGGCCCTGTTGCCAGTACCCCCATTCCCCAGGCACCCTCAGCCCCAGCCCTGCCCCATGGAGATGAACAGGATGCGGGAGGTAGATCCCAAGGGACCTAGGTGGGGCAAGACAGCTGTCCCCTTCCCACACACACGCACACACACCCTCCCCATCCAGGTGTCAGCCTGAGACCTCCAGGTTGCTGCAATCCCCTGGGTGACCTCTGGAAGCAAACTCCAAATTCCTCTGGATCCAGCTTACTTTGGGGATATAAATTAAAAACCACTTAGCCCTGAGCAGCAAATGGACACATTTCTGTCATACTCGCTTCTAAGCAGCTCAGGCACAGTTAAAGTGACCCCAGACCTGGCCCTGCCTTCCCCTCTGCTTCACACCTTGAGACTTAAGGATGCGGAAGCACAGGACCCCCAGGCCCTGCCCCAGGGGCGGGCACAAGCCCCAGGCCACCACTTCCTCATCAGAAGTAGGCCCTTCCTCCTCCAGTAGTCAGGCAGAGCAGCCCCTCTGGGCGCCCTCTCCCTCCCTCTCGTGACCTTAGGGAACAGCACAAGACAGAGGAGACAGTGGGAGAGCAGGTCCGGGAGGGAAACAGGTGTCACATCAGCAGGCCTCTTCCTCATCTCCCCAACGAGGACGCCCCGCAGCTTCAGAGGAGGTCAGAGTCAGAAAGACCTTTCAGGTCCCGCCCCCCTGCCAGGAATGGAGACCCCTTCTCCAGCATTCCCCAGACAGCCTGTCCTCCTTTGCGGCCAGTAGGCTGGACGCTTTTCAAGACAAGTCAGTTGTTTTGTGGGACTAATGTAATTTACCATGTGACCTTGAGCAAGTGACCGTCTTTTTTTTTTTTTTTTTTTTAATTTTTTTAAATTTTAGAGACAGGGTCTTGCCCTGTCATCCAGGCTGGAATGCGGTGGCACGATCATTGCTCACTGTAGCCTCAACCTCCTGGGCTTAAGTGATCCTCCTGCCTCAGCCTCCTGGGTAACTGGGACTAGAGGCGCCTGCCACCATGCCAGGTCAATTTTTAAAATTTTTTTCTTAGAGGTGGGGCCTTGCTATGTTGCCCAGGATGGTCTCAAACTCCTGGGTTCAAATGATCCTCCCACCTCAGCCTCCTAAGTAGCTAGGTACCACAGGCCTGCACCATCACACCAGACTAAATAAATTTTTGGACAGATGGGGCTGGGCACGATGGCTCACGCCTATAAGCCCAAGCACACCTGAGGTCAGGAGTTCAAGACCAGCCTGGCCAACATGGTGAAACCCTGTCTCTACTAAAAGAACAAAAGAAAATTAGCTGGACGTGGTGGCGCGTGCCTGTAATCCCATCTTCTCAGGTGGCTGAGGTAGGAAAATTCCTTGAACTCAGGAGGCGGATGTTGCACTGAGCTGAAATCATGCTATTGCACTCTAGCCTGGGCAACAGAGTGGGACTCTGTCTCAAAAAAAAAAAAAAAATTGTGTACAGATGAGATCTTGCTATGTTTCCCAGACTGGTCTTGAACTCCTGGGCGTAAGCTGTCCTGCCTCAGCCTCCCAAAGTGCTGGGATTACAGGTATGAGCTACCATACCCAGCCAAGTTCTCCATCTTTTGTCTGGACTTTAGTTTCCCTGTCTGTGGCATGAGGCTGGGCTCCCTGACCTGTGAGGTCCCCTGCCTCCAGGGATCTAGGTGTCTGGCAGCCAGGATGACAGGGCGGCCTCAGGAGTGCTCCCCTGCCCCCCGCCACCGTGGGTCAAGCAGCAGTGCCTGGACAGCCAGCAGAGGACCACAGCGCCCCAGCCACTCACGCTGGCTTTTATGGGGAGGGGTCCTTGCACCCCATTGGACCTTCACAGAGAGCACCATGACCACTGGGGTGAGAGCGGACCTCTCTTCAAAACAAGCCGCACAGCTGAGCCCACGCTCCCACCACTGCCAGTCAGACCTTGCCTCCCAGGACTTTCTGGGGGTCCTCAGGCTGGGCCAGAGGAACCCAGGGGATAGCAATGCATGAGGCACTCTAGGGTCACAGGATTTGATTCAGCTTACTCTGCCACACCTGTGCTCTGTGGCCTTGACTTCCTCATCAGTGAAAGGAGGCTATTGGAGCCAGTGACCCTTCTGAATGCTGGGGCACAAATGACTTGGTGACAAGCGGAAGTCCCTGCTCCTCCACCCACCCGGTTGGCCCTTGCAGCCGCCATACAGCACCATGCGCCTCTAGCTCGTTAGCTAGTATTTTTTCCTTTTTAACTAGAGCAACAGGATTAGCCAGTATTGGCCAAACATGGGGACTTTTGCCTTCCTTCCCTGAACCCAGGGCCAGAGGGTCCTCAGTGCAGGTTGGAAGTTATGGCGTTAACCCTTTGTGGACTGAGAAAGAAGTCTTAGCACGGAAAGGGCCCAGAGTTTTCAGCTAGACTGCCTGGATCACATCCTGGCTGTGTCACTGACCAGCTTTGAGGTGTTGTTCAACCTCTGTTTCCTCATCTGTAAATCAGAGATAATAATAATAATACGTACCTGGTGGAGCTGCTGGAAGAATTTGCACTTTGTTGCAGACAAAGCACCTATGTGTGTGGGAGCCAGCATTTTCACTGCAGCACCTGTCAGCATCAGTGTTTCCCGTTGACAGCAGCCTCACGACTGCACCAGTCGGAACAGGCCACTCTGTGCTCACAGGCTTCCACCTAAGGTTCTACAAAGAGGGAAGGCACCAGAGTCCACGTATGAGCTGCAGTGGCAACCTCCAGCCCAGAACCTTCCTCCTCACTCTCTGAAGGAGAGTCTGCCTGCAGGCTTGAAATACTCAACAGGCCATAAAGAGTTAGGGACCTTGGTTTTTCTATGTGGACAGTGAGACTTATGGTGAGGGTGTCCTCACCCTGGGGTGGCCCAGAGACTGGGACATGTAGAGGGGCAAACAAAGCCCGTGGGAAAGAGGCCTAGGGAGTGTGGAAGACTTCTGTGCCAGGGGCTTCTGTTTGCAGCAGAGACGCTAAGCAAACATCCTAACCTGACAACATCCTTTTTCCTCCCAACCTGGCTCAAACATTAGCCCTGCACAGGAGGGTGCAGGGAGGGCCACAGTCCCATTCCAAGAGTCACTGGTGATCCTGGGAAGGGGAACCTGTTGGCTCCTCCCTGATTCAGCACGGGACATTCTCTGAGTCTCCAGTGTTATTTTAAATTGGTCTAGATAAATGGTGTTCCCACCCCTTTTAGCCCCAGAGCCCCTTTCACAAATCCCTGAGATATAAAGCGGCGATGGGGAACGATTCTGTTGGATCTGGGGGCCGGGCCAAACCCCATGGCAGTCTGAGGCCCCTCCAGGCGCCTCTGGAGCAGGTGGTTCCTGGAGGCTTGGCAGCTGAGTCCCCCCTTTTTCATAAGTACCAGCCTACTGCATCTGGGTGCTCTCCCCACTCAGCCATAGCCACCCCAGCTGCTTTCTAAATGACTCCATTTTCCAAGGTCCTTCCTTCTTAATAGAGAAAGCTAATTTTGCTGCTGTTAATGAGGAAGGCGGGTGTGAGGGAGCAGATCTGGGAGTCGCGGGACACCTGGAAATGGGTGGGGACAGAGTGAAGCCAGAGGGGCATGAACTTGCAGAGCCATCCGAGGGTCCCCTGGAGCGCCCCGTCCCACACTGCCCCCCAGGGGACCAATGGCCCTCCCAGTCTCCCGCCTCTCACCCTGCCAGCCCCTGCTTCTGAGATTTATAAGGAGATGGGTGGGACCTTCAGGCTGCAAACGCATCACTGCTGTTATGGAAGCCCCCCATTTGCTGGGGCTTGAGGCTAGAGACAAACCCCAGGCTGCGCATGGGAGTCCTGCAGTTTCTGGCTAAGGTTGAGGGGGCCGCAGGGTGCTTGGCATGGAGCAGCATTAGGATGCCTGCCCCATCCAGGAAGCCTTAGTCCATTAAACAGCTCTGACCTGAAGCCCCGTGGGAAGCAGTTTGTTCTAAATCACTGCTTTTTTTTTTTTTTTTTTTTTTTGAGAAGGAGTCTTGCTGTTCTGCCCAGGCTGGAGTGCAGTGGTACGATCTAGGCCCACTGCAACTTCCCCATCCCAGGTTGAAGCACTTCTCCTGCCTCTGCCTCCAGAATTGCTGGGATTACAGGTGCCCGCCACCATGCCTGGCTAATTTTTTTTATTTTTAGAAGAGACGGGGTTTCACCATGTTGCCCAGACTGGTCTCGAACTCTTGACCTCAAGTGATCCACCTTCCTCAGCCTCCCAAAATGCTAGGATTATAGGTGTGAGCCACCACACCTGGCCTAAATCACTGCTTTAGATGAGGTGCATGCTGATTCAGAGGGGAAGGGCTGGGCCTAAGAGTCTGCATTTATAACAGGCCCCATGGAAAGGAGATGGAAGAGCCACACAGATGGAGCAGAGACCCTTAGGGCCCACCCTAAGGATGGTGGTACAGGATCCCCAGCCGACTTCTAGAATGTGGTCGAATCTGAGCCCTTGGAAGCGGCGGGGCCTATGGGTTTGGTGTCGGGCCCATTGTCAGCCTGGGAAACCCCTGAGGACGGGGCCAGGATCCCAGGGCCTGGCACAGAAGAGGTGTTAATCAGTATTTGCTGAGCGACTGAAGAAGGCACGGTAGACTCCTGGCTCCGCCTGATGGCGGGGGCCTGCCTTAGCCTGCCTACCTCACCCACTTCACCTGCAAAACGGGCATATCCACTGGCTCTGGGCTCCATGACTCACCTACCCTCCTCCCCTCTTGCTGTCAGGTGGTCAGTCGGGTGGCAGCCCAGCAAGGCTTCGACCTGGACCTTGGCTACAGACTACTGGCCGTATGTGCTGCAAACCGAGACAAGTTCACCCCGAAGTCTGCCGGTAGGTGTCCGTGGGGGACTCCGCGATGTCATCGGGAGGTAGGGAGGGGAACTGACTCTAAACCAGGCCTGTCTGTTGTCCCTGTCGGCTGGTGCCTCCATTTGTCTAGGTGTAGTGCGAGCCCCTGAGGAAGAGCTACTCATCCAACAGGCTCTGGAACCCACAGATGGGGCTCTCCCCGTGCCTCTCCCAGGGAGTATACTTGTCTTGGAGGGTACCGCAGGGCCAGAGAGGGTCCCGAGGCACACCAAACCCCAGCAGCAGGCACTGTGCTACAGGCAGGACCAGCATCAGTTCACTCCATCACCACAGTGACCCCTTGGCATAAGCACTGTGATCTCCCCATTTTACAGATGAGGAAACTGAGGCTCACTGACACTGAGGACATTTCCCAAGGCCACACAGCTGGAAGGCAGCACAGCAGGGATTTAAGCCCAGGCCTGTACTTCAGAGTCAGCGTTCTTAACCTTTATACTCCAGTACCTTCATTCATTCCCCAAAAATTGTTTAAAATGTAACAAAATTGAAAACAAAATGAATCACTACACTCAGGGTTCCGTATTGCAACTCTGTCATCATCTGCGGACCCTGTATTAAGCAGGGGCCATGGAGAGTGCCAAGCAGCATTCTGTCTGGGAGGGCTTTGAGCACTTTTTAAAGATACAGTTTTATTTTACATTTCCCACCATCCTCATAACCTTGCTTAGGCCTCAGGCGCCCTGCTAGCTTTAAGCCGGAGAGACCTGTCACTTGCTAAGTGTGTGGTCTCTGAGCCTCAGCTGATCTCTCAGGGAAGGCAGGAATGATAAGGAGACCCCTGACTTCAGGGGTCATTGTAAGTGCTAGAAATACATAAAGTGCCTAGCACCATGTCTGGATATTGTTAACATTCCTTATGGAGTCAGGACAAGCAGTTGAAAAAGCAAAAAAGAAACAGTTATTTCCTTTGTATAACAATAAAACGGACGTTTTCACTGAATTCATCAGTCAGTTCTTTGGAGTGTATATAGACACAGCCTTCATGAAAACGTTGTAAGGACATCTCACAATGTGTTTCCATAAATATGCTCAACTTATAATCTCATGTGGATGGCGCTGCACACGTAAGTGTGTGGTGGCCTCATTAGCCAATAACTACTCTGAAACCCTTGGCCCGCCTGCATTGGGATATTGCTATCGTATTGAATTGCTTGCCAGAAAATGGTCTTGGAATCTCACAAGGGACATCTATTCCTGATGGAGTGTGCTGTTTTCATAATGACTTAAGTCAATACAGTGTTGACAAGGTAGAAATGACTTATCAAAGACACGTACCTCTTGAGTGCCCATACTGTGCAGGCACCTGCCAAGGGCTGAATTTACAAGGGCAACTAAACAGAAAAGGTCCTGCCTCGAGAAACTCACAGTGCAGAGCAGGGGCCAGCAAGCTTTTTCCATCAAGGGCCAGACAGTATATATCTTAGGCTGTGGGGGCTCTGTGAAAGCTGCCATAGATAGTACGTAGAGGAATGGAGTTGGCTGGTTCCACGAAAACTTTATTTATGAAAACAAGTGCTGTGTGCAGTGGCTCACACCTGTAATCCCAGCACTTTGGGAGGCTCGGGTAGGTGGATCACTTGAGTTCAGGAGTTTGAGACCAGCCTGGGTAACATGGTGAAACCCCATCTCTACAAAAAAATACAAAAATTAGCTGGGTGTGGTGGTGCACGCCTGTGGTCCCAGGCTGCTTGGGAGGCTGGGATGGGAGGATCACTTGAGCCTGGGAGGTGGAGGTTGCAGTGAGTCAAGATCGAGCCCCTGCATTCCAGCCTGGGTGATAGAGCAAGACCCTATCTCAAAACAACAACAGCCAAGAAACCAGAACAAAAAAAACAAGTGATTAACTATACTTCCTGATCCCTAGTCTAGAGGGAGAGGAAAACATTGATCAAATAATTAGAGGGGTGTGTGTGTGTGTGTGTGTGTGTGTGTGTGTGTAAGCTCAAGCTGTGATGAGTGCCTTGAAGGAAAAGTGAAGGATGGCAAGGGGATGTTGTTGAGGGCAGACCACTCTGGGGTTGTAGCAGTCTCCCCCGAGACCCAAAGGTTGATAAGTGAAGAAAAGAAGAAAGAGCATCTTTGCAGTTAAGGGGACAGTCTGTGCAAAGGTGTTGAGGTGGAAGGGGAGCATGCATAGCTTTTTGTCAGAACTAAGAGAAATGCAGTGATTCTGGAGCCCAGAGGCAGGGGGTACATGGCAAAGGCGAGGCTGGAGAGAGCAGCAGCAGCGGAAACATTCAGGGCCTGTCTTGGAGGTCACGGTCTTTGTCCTGAGAGTAATGGGAACATGGCTAAATGCTCATTTTGTGACGACAGCTCTGGCTATAAAAGAACAGATGGCACGGGGCCTGGAAGCCCACCTGGATGTAGGTGGCCGGTTGACAGATCACTGGGGAGGTCGGGGTGAGGATGATGGTGGCTGGATCAGGAAGACAAGAGTGGAATGGAGACAGAGGGATATTTAAGAGGCAAAACTATGCCACAGAGGGAGAAGGAGACCTGGAGAATGGGCTGTCCCAGGAGCCCAGCGCCTCTCCAGAGGAGCAGGAGAGACTCAGGTCTCCGTGCAGCCCCTCCACAAAGGGTCACTGAAACCCCTGCCCTGCTGACACATGCTGGGCGTTCTCATATGTTTTGTGGCGGTGCCCAGCTTTGTGAGACACGGAATACTATCTACATTTATGGATGAAGAAATGGAAGCTTAGAGAGGTCCTATGACTTCCCTGAGGTCACCCAACTCATAAGTGATGGGCTGGAACCTGAACTCCTAGCCCCCTGGCTGCAGGCCCAGGGCTCTGCCTGCCCCATCACAGCAGGCCTGGGCAGCCGTCCATTTCTGTTGGAGAGAGCCCTTCATGCTGCTCAGGGGTCTCTAGCAAGGCCTCTGAGTGGCATTCCCAGCATCACTTCTTCACTTGAAACAGGGATTTGTTCTTTCCTCCATCTGCACCCCCGCTTGAACACAGCCTTTATAATTTAGAAAGCCCTTTCCCATGCATTGTGTCTGTGAACTCACGTGACCCTCTGACACTACACAGGCTCCCAGGAGATGAATTCTCAGTGTACCCGTTCTGCAGCTGAGAACACTGAGGCACAGGAGTGCCTGTGGCTTGGCCATCCTTGAATTTCCTTATTAGGAGTCAAACCCTTGTCAGTGCCCACAGCCATGACTAACTACCTTTCAAGGCCGCCCCTCTAGACATACGGGCTCTTGGGATCCCAGTCACCCCCTGCTTGCCCCATCTTCTGGAAAGGAAAGGGGGCCAGTCTGAGGGGGGAGCCTCCACCTGCTGGTTTTATTTGAGGGGTGAAGGGCCTGCCAGGGGCAGGCTGGGCCATAAGAGGGGTGGAGGCCGTGGCGAGTCAAGCTGGGACCCCAAGTCCCAGATATGGCACCGGCACCGGGCCTCCTCTTGGCCACCTGTCCGAGCTGTGGCCTCGTCTGTGAAGACAGCTGTGAAGACAGCCCATGTCATGAGGATGCAGTGGGACCCCCTAATAATGGGAGTGAGGAAGGGGCCCAGCTAATACCTGACACACACTGGGGGCCAAGTAAATATGACCCTCCAGCCTTCCTCCTCCGCTTCCGTATGTCTGTCTCTTAGCCAATGTGACTCCCAGCCTCTCTAAGACCCTTTCTGTGGCAGCAAGCCTGTTTCCCACTGGCCTGTCTCCCCTTGTCTCTGTGCGTGTGCGTGACCTGCAGTGACCCTGCCCTTGGGCACAGCCCCAGTGTGCCTGTGTGGGGTTGGCCGCTCCCACCTGCCCAGCCCACTCCCAGGGAGGCCTCTGCAGTCCCAAAACTCGCTCCAGCCCTCAAGCCCCTTCAGCCAGTCTGGACCACCTGTCCGCCCTCCTGCCTTTGCACACCTGTCTGACATGCCTGTGCAGTTCTGCCCTCCCAGGGCTCCCCACTCTGTTCTCTCTTTGGTCTCGGTGTCTGTAGGTCTGTCTCCATGCAGCGGCCCCTGTCCATCTCTGGCTTCCCATGGCTTTCTCTGCCTTCCTGGGTTTCTCTGGGTCTCAGACTTTTTCCCTCTGTAGGTCTGTGTGTATGGTGTGTGTGTGGCTGTGTATGTTTGTGTTGGGGAGAGTATATGGCTTTGTATGTGGGTGTGTGCTGTGTACCTGTGCATGCCTCTGTGTGTGTCTGCATAGCTGTGTACGCGTGTGTATCTGTGCATGCTATGTATGGCCATGTACATGTACATGGCTGTGTCCATGGTGTGTGTATGTCTATGATGTATGTGTACCTGTGTGCGTGTCTGTGTGTGCGTGGTTGTGTACATGTATGTATCTGCATGGTGTTTGTGCATGGCTGTGTAGATGTACATGCTTATCTGTGTCTGCATGCATGTTATCTGTGCGTAGGTGCATGCCTGCGTGAGTCGCCCTGGCGCTGCGTCCCCCTGTCTGTCTCCCTTGTCAGGAGGCCAGGCCAGCCAAGGAGGGCCAGGATGAGATCATGCAGTGAGCGAGCTTGGAGCGGGGCTTTGTCAGGAGAGCTGGCGGTGAGCCGGCCGTGGTGCAGGAGCACGTGTGTGCATGTGCATGCATGCATGCTTGTGTGTGTGCGTGTGTGTGCGTGTGTGTGTGTGTCCTGGGAGAGTGCTAAGGAGGCGAGTGTAGGCAGTCATTGCAGCAGCCGCCAGGCAGGCGGCTCCACGCGGCCCTGGACGCCCAGCCCCCAGCTCTTTGTTCTGGCGCAGCCTTTAGCCTCAGAGCGCGCTCACAGGAGCATGTGCGTGCGCGGGCGGGATCCTCCTTCTCACCAGGCCCCCTACCTCCTCAGTACAGAAGGTCACCTGTCCGGCCCGGCATCCTGATACTCCCTTGATTCTCCCCAGGCCTGGCCTTAGCATTGCCCCACCCCCACCCTCCATGCCAGCCCGAGGGGACTTGGCGGGCAGCGCTGAAATGTCAGCCTCCTCAGCACCGAGCAGTCCCATGCCTGCTGGCAT